AGATGGGGTTGGTGGTCAGACGGTGAAATACCAGTCTTGGTGGTTTTTAGATGGGGTTGGTGGTGAGCCGGTGAAATATCGGTCTTGGTGGTTTTTAGATGGGGTTGGTGGTCAGCCGGTGAAATACCAGTCTTGGTGGTTTTTAGATGGGGTTGGTGGTCAGCCGGTGAAATACCGTCTTGGTGGTTTTTAGATGGGGTTGGTGGTCAGCCGGTGAAATACCGGTCTTGGTGGTTTTTAGATGGGGTTGGTGGTCAGCCGATGAAATACCAGTCTTGGTGGTTTTTAGATGGGTTGGTGGTCAGCCGGTGAAATACCAGTAAACCAGGTCTTGCTGGTTTTTAGATGGGGTTGGTGGTCAGCTGGTGAAATACCGGTCTTGGTGGTTTTTAGATGGGGTTGGCAGTCAGCCGGAGAAATACCGGTCTTGGTGGTTTTTAGATGGGGTTGGTGGTCAGCTGGTGAAATACCGGTATTGGTGGTTTTTAGATGGGGTTGGTGGTCAGCTGGGGAAATACTGGTCTTGGTGGTTTTTAGATGGGGTTGGTGGTCAGCCGGTGAAATACCAGTCTTGGCGGTTTTTAGATGGGTTGGTGGTCAGCTGGTAAATATACCAGTCTTGGTGGTTTTTAGATGGGGTTGTTGGTCAGCTGGTGAAATACCGTCTTGGTGGTTTTTAGATGGGGTTGGCGGTCAGCCGGAGAAATACCAGTCTTGGTGGTTTTTAGATAGGGTTGGTGGTCAGCTGGTGAAATACCGGTCTTGGTGGTTTTTAGATGGGGTTGGTGGTCAGCTGGTGAAATACCCGTCTTTGGGTTTTTAGATGGGTTGGTGGTCAGCCGGTGAAATACCAGTCTTGGTGGTTTTTAGATGGGGTTGGTGGTCAGACGGTGAAATACCAGTCTGGTGTCAGACAAATTCCAGTCTTGGTGGTTTTTAGATGGGGTTGGTGGTCAAAATACCAGTCTTGGTGGTTTTTAGATGGGGTTGGTGGTGAGCCGGTGAAATATCGGTCTTGGTGGCTTTTAGATGGGGTTGGTGGTCAGCCGGTGAAATACCAGTCTTGGTGGTTTTTAGATGGGGTTGGTGGTCAGCCGGTGAAATGCCGGTCTTAGTGGTTTTTAGATGGGGTTGGTGGTCAGCCGATGAAATACCAGTCTTGGTGGTTTTTTGAGATGGGTTGGTGGTCAGCCGGTGAAATACCAGTCTTGCTGGTTTTTAGATGGGGTTGGTGGTCAGCTGGTGAAATACCGGTCTTGGTGGTTTTTAGATGGGGTTGGCAGTCAGCCGGAGAAATACCGGTTTGGTGGTTTTTAGATGGGGTTGGTGGTCAGCTGGTGAAATACCGGTATTGGTGGTTTTTAGATGGGGTTGGTGGTCAGCTGGGGAAATACTGGTCTTGGTGGTTTTTAGATGGGGTTGGTGGTCAGCCGTGAAATACCAGTCTTGGCGGTTTTTAGATGGGTTGGTGGTCAGCTGGTAAAATACCAGTCTTGGTGGTTTTTAGATGGGGTTGTTGGTCAGCTGGTGAAATACCGGTCTTGGTGGTTTTTAGATGGGGTTGGTGGTCAGCCGGAGAAATACCAGTCTTGGTGGTTTTTTAGATAGGGTTGGTGGTCAGCTGGTGAAATACCGGTCTTGGTGGTTTTTAGATGGGGTTGGTGGTCAGCTGGTGAAATACCCGTCTTTGGGGGTTTTTAGATGGGTTGGTGGTCAGCCGGTGAAATACCAGTCTTGGTGGTTTTTGGATGGGGTTGGTGGTCAGACGGTGAAATACCAGTCTTGGTGGTTTTTAGATGGGGTTGGTGGTGAGCCGGTGAAATATCGGTCTTGGTGGCTTTTAGATGGGGTTGGTGGTCAGCCGGTGAAATACCAGTCTTGGTGGTTTTTAGATGGGGTTGGTGGTCAGCCGGTGAAATGCCGGTCTTAGTGGTTTTTAGATGGGGTTGGTGGTCAGCCGATGAAATACCGGTCTTGGTGGTTTTTAGATGGGGTTGGTGGTCAGCTGGTGAAATACCAGTCTTGGTGGTTTTTAGATGGGGTTGGTGGTCAGCCGGAAAAATACCAGTCTTGGTGGCTTTGAGATAGGGTTGGTGGTCAGCTGGTGAAATACCAGTTTTGGTGGTTTTGAGATGGGGTTGGTGGTCAGCCAAGCCAAACCATCCATGCTTTTGACTCCTGGGGTCGGGTGAGCAGTATTCATCTTTATCTCCTATCAAGTTTGTTACTTTGCTATGCAGGTGGATTGTTGTTGATGTTGATCTAGCACATCTTCCACATACAGTTGTGACCAAAATTATTCAACCCCCACTGAAATTGAGTGTTTTGGCCAGTTTGACATTGCTTTTGATCATTCAGTCATCTTGCTTACATTTACATTAAAGAGGCACTTGTAGGTCAGACAAATATAACATAACAGTTATAATGAAATAACCACAAATGTCTTTTCTGTGCTCACAGCATTATCAGTTTTATTCAACCCCCAAGTGACATTCAATCTTAGTACTTAGTACAGCATCCTTTTACAGTTATAACAGCTTTTAAACGTGAAGCATAGCTTGACACAAGTGTCTTGCAGCGATCTACGGGTATCTTCGCCCATTCTTCATGGGCAAAGGCCTCCAGTTCAGTCACATTCTTAGGCTTGCGCACTGCAACTGCTTTCTTTAAGTCCCACCAGAGGTTCTCAATCGGATTTAAGTCTGGTGACTGCGATGGCCACTCCAAAATGTTCCAGCCTTTCCTCTGCAACCATGCTCTAGTGGACTTGGAGGTATGCTTGGGATCATTGTCCTGTTGAAAGGTCCAACGTCTCCCAAGCCTCAGGTGTGTGACGGACTGCATCACGTTTCCATCCAATATCTCCTGGTACTGAAGAGAATTCATGGTACCTTGCACACGCTGAAGCTTCCCTGTACCTGCAGAAGCAAAACAGCCCCAAAGCATGATTGACCCTCCACCATGCTTCACAGTAGGCAAGGTGTTCTTTTCATCATAGGCCTTGTTCTTCCTCCTCCAAACATAGCGTTGATCCATGGGCCCAAACAGTTCTAATTTTGTTTCATCAGTCCACAGAACACTATCCCACAACTTTTGTGGTTTGTCCACATGGCTTTTGGCATACTGCAGTCGACTCTTCTTATTCTTTGGAGACAGCAAGGGGGTACGCCTGGGAGTTCTGGCACGGAGGCCTTCATTACGCAGTGTGCGTCTTATTGTCTGGGCTGAAAACTTCTGTACCCACATCTGACAAATCTTTTCTCAGTTCCTCAGCAGTCACACGGGGACTTCTCTCCACTCTACGCTTCAGGTAGCGCACAGCAGTCGAAGTCAGCATCTTCTTTCTGCCACGACCAGGTAGCGTTTCAACAGTGCCCTTTGCCTTGAATTTGCGAATGATGCTTCCTAAGGTGTCTCTTGGTATGTTTAACATCTTTGCAATCTTCTTATAGCCATTGCCCTTCTGTGAAGAGAAATCACCTCTTCTCTTGTCTTCCTGGACCATTCTCTTGCCTTCACCATGTTTGTAACCACACCAGTAAATGTCTAGAAGGAGCTGAGTATCACAGTCATTTTAAAGCTGCCTAATTGGTGCTTATTATGCTTGATTGCTGCTCGGGTGACATCCACAGGTGTTTTCAATACCTGATGGAAAGCACCTGTATGAACCTCTGTTCTTCAGAGTGGTAGTCTTTAAGGGGTTGAATAATTGTGGCAATGAAGAAACCACATAAGAACCATTTACTACTGTATTACATAAACAATTGATGTCATTTTAGTTGCATTTGGGTTCCTACAACGTCCTTGTAGGATTTGATTCTGAATACAATTCCAAATGTACACTATAGTCCCTAAACCCCTTTACAGCATTGGGGTTGAATAATTTTGGTCACAACTGTAGGTTGAAATTTGTAGTCCAGGGCAAAATTTGTATGAATAACCTAGTGATATACCTTCTTTAAATGTCTTCATTTCCTTGTAGGCAGGTGCAGTCTACTGTAGGTGGCCTCGTTCTCGTCCGGAGCAGCAATGCACCTGGAAGGGAAGTCAAGGGAAACTAGGTTTCTCTACTGTTCCCTCGGTCCCCTAAAGTAGCATTCCAGTTGCATCTGGGTGACCCTGTTGGCCATCTATGGTCAGACAGAGTCTTTTTAAATCCCTTTCTCCAAGCTATGAATTTTGCGAAGTGGCTAGTGTATGGAGAGCATACCCGTCTGTCAGAGACAGGACTAGTGGCAGAGAGAGGTATCGGGAAAGCTCAAGGCCTACTTGTGTAACATCAGCACGCTACTTTTTTGGTTGGACCAGCCAGGCAGTATACCGCCCTCCTTAGCAGGTGATGTCTTCAGTTCTGGCCTACTACCACTGACTCTCTGTTCCATTTACTGTAAGTTGCTGGTCAGGTGAGCTCCCTGCTGTTACTGCATTATGGGCCTCTTTGTGTTTATGGTCGCTGCACCACACTGCACCTACCCAACAAGTTTCTAGCCTAAAAGTGGAATGGTGGTGGTTCTCAGCCATAGCCTTCCAGTGGTCTGCAGACAATCTACCAATGCTTTGTGGTCACCTACGTAGGTAGAGATCCAATGTATCCGCAAACATAAATTTCAAACTGTTTTTATCTTTAAAGATTATTGCGCTACAACTTTCATTCTCTGTACAATAAAATGTATTTTTTTGTATTTCAAAAAACAGAAGAACACAGTTGGGTCTCAACCATTGTGAAGTGGTTCCAGGTATAATTTAGACCAACTGTGGCACAGGACTGATTTAGCCTCTTTTGTCAACATTCAACATCCTGCTGTAGATGAAAATTACTACCTGTCAGGAGCTTCTTTGCTGATTGAAATGTAATTTACTATCAAGCATTAGTACAGTTGTATTATTCTCATGTGTGGTGTTGTCTTCTTTGTATTTTAGAGCCAACAAGACCAGAATGAACATCCTTTGAAGCTCAGATACCATCCCCTCAATTCTGCTGCAACGTGAAGAACACAAGAATGTCCCACGTGCCTTTTGCTGTGGTTCTTCTACTCATCAGATGTCTACTGTCCTCCTCACTTGTGTTCCCGAAGGACTTGAGTCCTATCAGAACCATCGATTCGGGAAGTAAGTACCAAAGTCTGCTCTTCTTGACCTTTCAACATTATCCATGTGCCCTTGTGTCATCTAGGAGGACCAGGACAAGAAATGGGAGGAATAAAAAATTGAGAGCTGTCCTAACCCAGGGGTCTCCAAACGTTTTAAAACAAACAACCAGTTTACTGTCCTTCAGACTTTAAGGAGGGCTGAACTGTGGCCAGTGGAAGTAGAAAATTCCCCAGTGTCAGTGGGAGTATACAATGCCTCGGGCTTGGTGGTCAGTGGGAGTTAAAAAAATTAGATAATGCCTGTGGACAGTAGGATGTGGAATAATGTCTCATTGTTGGTATTACTTGGAGGAATAGGGCCCCTTGTTGGTATCAATGGAGGAACAGTGGCCCATCGTTGGTGTCAGTGGGTTGAATGTTGTCCCATTCAGTGGGAGGAATAGTGCCCCAATACTTTCAGTGGGAACAATATTGCCCCATCAGTGGTGTCAAAGGGATGAATAATGCCCCATCATTGGTGTCAATGGGAGGAATGATGCCCCACTGTTGATTTCAGTGAAAGGACTGGCATCACATTGTTGGAGTCAGTGGGAGGAATAGTCCCCCAAGGTCCAGAGAAAAGCTAGCAAAGGGCCACATCTGACCACAGCTTGGAGACCACCTTTCTAACCCATCCCATTGTCTTAATACACTTGCTTTAGCTAACCTTCAGGGAGATATTCCATCAATTCCTGTGCCTATGACACCCTGTCACTGGGAAAGTAAAAAAGGGCAAATCTACGCAATGGGGACACAGAAAGCAAACAAACCTAGTAAAAGCTTTAACCTTTCCCTACTTTATACAAAACTGAAAAACAAGTTAAGACTGGAGTTGGTCTTAATGTGTTGCTTTTCATGAACTTTTGCCACAAGAGTTGTTTCCACCCCACCTTAGTAATTGAACTTGTCTCTAAAAAATTAATATTCTGTCTTCTTGAGACTTTTTGCTTACTCTATAAAAGGCTTCCAGAACTGGAAATGAAAAATTTTTTTTTTTAGTTTTTAAGATTTTCTTGGCTTGGATATAGTCCATTTCTCTAAATTTCTGTATTGATTAAAACACTTCCAGGGCTAACACTTAACATCTAAATTAAGTTTATACTTCTTTGAAAAGTAGATATTGATCTTATAATATATAAGCCGCATTTCCATGTTATGACAAAACCAAATATATAAAGATATTTCATCTGCCTTTTGAAGGTACCAGATCCTACCCGTTATTTCGAGGACTGGCCAGCGATGAAAATGCAGTAAATCTCGGCCTGGACTTCCAAAAGATGGTCAGACTCAACCAAACTTTGTTTGTTGCTGCAAGGTGAGTGTTGCGCTAATTAGATTCAATTCTAATGTGGAAAATTTTAGGTGGGAAATTAAAGTTTTAATCTAATTAAAGGCTGATGGATGATGCGGTCTTAAAGGGTGCATCTACCAAACCTTACCTTAGTTTATGGCAGAGGTTTAACTAGAACCTTCAGGGCTATGGTGCAAGAAACCATGAAGGGCACCCCTGATCCCTCCCTTCAGAGCGGGGCCCTTTCTATAAGCCCCTGGGGCCCTTTCCTCTGGTCCTGGTGCCCTTCCTTCCTTTCCTGGGGTCCTTCTCACTGATCCTGAGGTCCTTTACTCCCATCACGAGGGCCTGCAGAGGGACCTTTTCACATGTTCTGCAGCAGGCACCTTCCCCAACGGTGGTGGCAAACCAGGGATCAGGCGCAAGTGTGACCTTTGCGACCCTGGTAGTTCCACCACTGGTTTATGGTTGATTTTGGGCACTAACCTATTACACTAATTTATTAGTTATTAAGTTAGAAAAAAAAAATTAGTTATTAAGTTAGAAAACTTTTTTTATATCTCTTGGGTGTCCTGTAGTGGGATGTTAACGCCAGGGGTGAACTGACAACTCACGGGCAATAGGGGATCATGGGGCTCCTGTGTCCTCGTCCACACTCAAACCACACCCAAAAAAGCCTATAACAACGCCAGGGGTGGACTGACAACTCATGGGGCCCCCGGGCAATAGGGGATCATGGGGCCCCTGTGTCCTCGTCCACACTCAAACCACACCCAAAAAAGCCTATAACAATGCCAGGGGTGGACTGACAACTCATGGGGCCCCTGGGCAATAGGAAATCATGGGGCCCCTGTGTCCTCGTCCACACTCAAACCACACCCAAAAAAGCCTATAAAAAGAACCAGGGGCATCTCATGGGGCTGCCTACTGACGCCGGGCCCTCGGGCAGTCCGCAAACGTGCAACTATAAACGTGAAAACCCGTAAGTGTTCACAAAAAATGTGCAAGTGCAAAACACCACACGAAAAAGTGCACTTAGGGGTGTGCTGTGTCCTACCCCTAAAGGGGCTTGGACCACTTACCCTGATCCCCCGGGGCACGAAGCTCCTGACGGGGACAAGGTTCCCAATTGGTCCTCCTGGCCAAAAGGCCTGGTGGACCACCGTTCCTTGTGTCCAGCCGAAGCCAGACACCCAGTACTTGGTCAGGGGGCTCTCCCGAAGAAAAGCCCCCTAGGGATCAGGGGAGGAAGGAACCAAAAGGCCACACATCCTCCCCCTAGAATTCAGGGTAGGCCCGAGGACCCACACCCTCCATCCGTGAAAACACACGCATAAGCAACAGAAAAAGTGACAAACGTGGGAGGTGAAATAAATTAAATAAATAGAAAATAAAAAAGTGGTACCGTGCCAAATTGTGCACAGACCAGGCCCTGAGGCCCGTAGCAAAAATTGCCCTGGTCCTAGCCAAAAGGCCTGGTCCTTAGGGCGCTGTGCAAAAAGAATGTAAAAACAGTGACCATGTGCCATGTTCAGACAGTGGGGTCCCACACCCAGGTGTTACTAGTGGCACCCCTGAGAGCGTCTACTCAGGGGGCACCGAGTTTGCGGACTTTCTGCCTCCTCAGCCCCTGGCCAGACCAAGGTAGATCCGTCCAAATCAGGAGGTACTGGGTCTTTCCAGTGTTCCCGGAGGAATTACTCCCAAGGCCCCAGAACGAATCATGGCGCTCCCTGGTTTCTGTCCCTCCGGTACTAGCCTTCCGGACCCCCATCATACCAGTGAGGGTACTATACAACAGCCATCCCCGCAAAGCTAGAATGGCCGGGAGCACCCCCACTGGACACTGATAAGAACAGATACTACACTTGATCTTAGCCAAAAGGCCGAGAAGCCCGAGAGCCCAAATGGTCAGTCCGCCCCTGGTCACCGCTTGAGTTCCTGGGTTTGCAGAAGGCATCACATTAACCCTGCTGACTGTGTCGTATTCTTATTTCATATAATGGAGAATACAACAATAGGAGATAAAACATTCTTTGTTGTAGCAGGATGAGGGAGATTCCATACTGCTTAGGACCTATGGTTGTGGAATCTCCCCAAAAGATATCATATGCCTGCCATGTATTTACTGAGTGTATCCATTTAACAATATCAGCTTTGTCCTGGTGGACCTTCACTATCAACTGTCATTGTGCAGCTGCTGGAGGAGAAATGGCAGATGGTGTGGATCATGCAACCTATCAGCTGTTGTCAGTCTTTAAAACAAAAGATGGTATAATTACTTTTAACTTAAACTAAAGTCAATTGTTCGTGTCTTTTGCTAGCATATACTCATATGATTTACAAATATTTATCAATTTGTCCAAGGAAAGACAAGTTTTAGACAGGCTTCATTGCTTGTAGACACCAGTTGGGATTAAAGCTGTTTAGTAATTAGTGCAACGATAGACAATTCATCCTCTGATACACTATATGGCAGGGGTGGCCTGACCATTCAAGCACTCGGGCAATGCCCGAGGGCCCAGGGTCAGTAGGGGGCCCCATGAAATGCGCCTGGTACCTTTTATAGGCTTTTAGGGTGTGCTTTGAGTGTGGGCAAGGACACAGGGGCCCCATTAACCCCTATTGCCCGGAGGGCCCATGAGTTGTCAGTCCGCCCCTGCTATATGGTGAAAAGTATGTGAACCCCCCTCCGAATAATTGAGTTCAAAGGTTTCCAGTGAAGGGTACTGTTAATACTACAGCATACAGAAACATTTTACATGATTTTGTGCTTCCAACCTTGTAGCAACAGTGTTGGGAAGACCCTTTTCTGTTCCAGTATGACTACACACAAAGCAGGCTCTATAAAGACATGATTTGATGAATTTTGTGTGGAGGAACTTGAATGGCCTGCACAAAGCCCTGACCTCAACCCTAATAGACACCCTTTAGACAATTCTACTTTTACAACCTTGAGGCAAAACTTTGGTGATGACCCTTTTCTGTACTAGCATGACTGAGCCCCTGGACACAAAGCCAGCTCCATAAAGACATGGTTTGACCGATCTGTTGTGAGGACATCTTTGGGATGAATTGAAACACCAAACGCAAGCCAGGTCTTCTCTTACAACATCAGTACCTGATCTCATAAATGGTGGCCACCTCCATAAAGACATGGTATGATGAGTTTGGTGTGGAGGAACTTGAGTGTCCTGCACAGAACTCAAACCTAAACCCTACTGAACGCCTCTGGGATGGCAAGCTAGATCTTCCCATCCACTATCAGTACCTGACCTGAAAATGTTTCTTTTGGCTGGCTGGACACAAATTGCCACAGACATACTCCAAAATCTTGTTGAAATTCTCCCCAGAAGAGTAGAGGATGTTATATCCACAAAGGCGGCAACTCCATTAGGCCATGGTTTTGGAATGAGATGTATAACAAGCTTGTATAGATGTGATAGCTGTCCATAAAGAGTTGTCTATATAGTGTACTTTGATGAATGACACACAATGCATTCTATTGGAGTACAAATCAGCTGAACTGCCTCAATAAAAATGTACAATTCCTTACATAAACGGAGTCTGGAGTTAGTTATTTGTGTTACGACGAGTGTACATGACCTTCTTCTCAAAGGTGGAGGTCATGCGTGACTCAGACAGGCCCCATGTAAATTTTTACGAAGAACTGTGTATGTAACCGTTTATTTTCTGACACGCGAGATCAGTTCTGTGACATCTATAGCCACGGATGATTCATCAACGTCGCGGCAGAGGAGAATGTGCCTAATTACAATGCAGATTTCCTCACCTGTTCCCGCCTGAGGAGATGATAATGGGGATGGCTTGGAAAACGCTTTAAATAAATTACAATCTTCTCATGTAGGCCTAAAATAGACCCGTTTTGAGAAAGAAAAAAAAAATTTCCTCTGCACAGGACAACCGCAACTAAATTTAGAAGGAAAGAGCTAAGGAGATGCAGGGAAAACTAAGAACAAAATGGCAGCCGTCAAAAAAATGGCAGTTGTCTTGTTGGGGCCTTTGCTGTGTAGCCATTTCCGTTTTCATAAAATTGATCAATCCGTCACTTGAGCCATTATTGTTTTTGCTTTACAGGGATTACGTGTACACAATCGATCTGAGGAGAGCTAAAGATGCCATCTCAAGCGACAAGGTAAGACTGTGACTGTCCATCAGTAGAGTAATAAGGCTCTGTAATGAAATCACAGAACATGAAATACTCAGAAACTACAAAGGTTGATTTACCAAACCAGAAAACGTTTGTTTTAATAAATACCAGTGCTCACTAAATATGTAATAGCTCACAAGACCTACTTTGGTCCCAGAACACATTTCAACTGTTTTCCTGGAGCACAATCTTAGGTCAGGGCTGCTATAAAGCAATAAAGAATATCTTTGGGCAAAACTTTTCTGTTTGTTGTAGAAAAAGTAGAATGATTAAAACATCTGCCTCTTTTTATGACTTTGTCCCATTAACAAGGTTTTCATTCCAGGTTCCAGTAGTCTACTGTGTGGAGGCTGAAGCTAGGGTTTGGTTGGTTCCTCTACTCTACACTGGAACCATTACTTCAGGATGTTTATCTGAGTATCACATTGTGGGCAATCCTCACACTCTCTCTTCTCTTTTTCAGTATATCACATGGAAGACGCAAAATATGGACAACTGTGCCGTGCGGGGAAAACCACTGGTAAGTAACTACTTTGGGTCACTCCCTTGCAAAATCAACATTTTCTAAAAACAAAAAACCATTAAGGGTCATAACCCGTTAGCTGCGCTATTTATATATTTTGTAAACTCTCCATTGGTTAAATATTGGTCTGGTCAAGTTAGCGTTTTGATACTCTGAGTTGGTCAAGTTCTGCAAATGTGCCATTGACCTGATTGGCGACAGGTTTGTCTAGTCCAGCAATGGGCAAACTACGGCCCGCGGGCCATATGCGGCCCGGCGGACCTTTTAATCTGGCCCGTGGAGCGTGATACTGTCAGGATGGCTGACAGGATGTGTGTAGGCGGGGCAGCGTGACGAACGTGAGGGGAGCTAGGCTCCTCTCACAGTCCGCCCTGAAGACCGGAACGGCGCGGGAACACGGCGAGAGGAACGCGCAGAGCAAAGGTAAGTGAATTGACACAGAGGGGGGACTTGGAGACTTAATATGGGGGATGAATTAATATGGGGAATGAATTACTATAGGGGGGATGAATTACTATAGGGGGGATGAATTACTATATGGGGGATGAATTACTATGGGGGATGAATTACTATATGGGGGATGAATTACTATATGGGGGATGAATTACTAAATGAGGGATGAATTACTATATGAGGGATGAATTACTATGGGGGATGAATTACTATATGGGGGATGAATTACTATATGGGGGATTAATTACTATGGGAGATGAATTACTATGGGGGATGAATTACTATGGGGGATGAATTACTATGGGGGATGAATTACTATATGGGGGATGAATTACTATGGGGGATGAATTACTATATGGGGAATGAATTACTATATGGGGGGATGAATTACTATATGGGGGATGAATTACTATATGGGGGATGAATTACTATGGGGGATGAATTACTATAGGGGGGATGAATTACTATAGGGGGGATGAATTACTATATGGGGGATGAATTACTATATGGGGGATGAATTACTATAGGGGGGATGAATTACTATGGGGGATGAATTACTATATGGGGGATGAATTACTATGGGGGATGAATTACTATGGGGGATGAATTACTATATGGGGAATGAATTACTATGGGGGATGAATTACTATGGGGGATGAATTACTATGGGGGATGAATTACTATATGGGGGATGAATTACTATGGGGGATGAATTACTATATGGGGGGTGAATTACTATATGGGGGATTAATTACTATGGGGGATTAATTACTATGGGGGATGAATTACTTACTATGGGGGATGAATTACTATATGGGGGATTAATTACTATGGGAGATGAATTACTATGGGGGATGAATTACTATGGGGGATGAATTACTATATGGGGGATTAATTACTATGCTTACTATGGGGGAATATTACTATACTTACTATGGATGACACATACACATCATTCATCTACTCTTGGTCCGGCCCCTGGGTCCAATATATGAACCCATTGCGGCCCTCAAGTCAAAAGGTTTGCCCACCCCTGGTCTAGTCCCATCTTCAACAAATGCCCTCAAAGTCTGATTGGCTACTTATTGGTTTATATACTTGTGACTGTTGTAATGTTTGTAGTAAGTATGATGATAGTAATTTGAAAATACTTGTTGTGGGTAGATCTACTAGGCTCTGGCCTAAGGCGGTGGACTACCAGGGACTGCACCATCAAGCCTATCTGCAAATCTGTCTCTACTGTTTGTAAGCATGTACTGTAAGTCAGCACTATACAGAAGGAAAGTGAAATTAGAATAGGTTCCCAATGGCACTAGCACATGTGCAGTGTTTTGAGGCTGAAATGAACAGGAATGAGTATCAAGACTATGCAGTGCAATGTGCATGAACTTGGAGGTGCGTACTGAACCTTCCAGCTCATTCTTATGGACCCGGGGGTTGACGGGCTTGATTCTGGGTTTTGAAAACTAATGTTGAGGCCTCCTTTCTTACATTTGAGCTAATAAACCCTTTAAGTGATTCCATTGTTGGCTAATTGAATATACCTATATTGCTAGCATGACGTTTAAAGCATTATGATGTCATGGACCTCCTGGTGATGCCATCTTACATTATGGCCCAGCATAAACAAATTTTGGTCCTGAATGTATACGTATCTTCACTCCACTTCTTGTCTTCCATCAATTCTTGAAAGTTTCTCTTTTCCTTCTTAAGATGACTTGTATGATAGTACTATTAGACCAACTATTATGTTCTTTTGAGGCTCTCCTACCTTCAGCTCAGGAACTGAAGGAGAACCTGAATGTATACATATCTTCACTCCACTTCTTGTCTTCCATCAATTCTTGAAAGTTTCTCTTTTTCCTTCTCAAGATGACTTGTATGATAGTGCTATTAGACCAACTATTATGTTCTTTTGAGGCTCTCCTACCTTCAGCTCAGGAACTGAAGGAGAACCTCATGATCTCATGATCTACCAGGAGCTTCACTGGTATACAGTATATAATTCAACCAGATCTGTGTGTCCATCCATCCCGTTATCAAGAGGTTGTCCTTCAATTCCTGAAGCCCAGTAGTTTCACAGATATATATACGTCAGCCAGTTCTTTGTTTCCAACTTTTCCTTTTATCTTGAGACTCTCATACAGTTCCTCATCCCAAGTATTTTCACCCGTTTATACATTGTACATCAACCAGTTCTCTGTCTCCTACCTTTCCCCTGCTCTTGAGGATCTCATACAGTTCCACATCCCCAATAGTTTTACTGGAATACATGTCAGCCAATTAGGTATTTCAAACTGTCTCATTTTATTTGGGCTTTCCTTCAATTCCTTTTCCCCAGGTAGTCATTTACATGTTGGCCAATTTGTCAGCCCTAGCAGTTTCACAAGTATATATAAATTGTCTACTCCAGTGTCCACCATCCCATGCCCATGAGGCTTTGCTTCAGTTCTTCAACCCAAGCAGTTATACATATACACCGGTATACATATCGTCCAATGCTGTATTTCCAACCAGCCCATTTTCTTGAGGCTCTTCTACTATTCCTCATTGCCAATGGTTTCAATGGTATACAAAAGATGGCTAAATATGTGTCTCCAGTGATCCCAACTTCTTGAGACTTCTTTACAGTTCCTCAGCCCCAAAAGTTTGTTTGGTATATAAATATACAGTTCATCAACCAGTTTTGTGCTGCTAGCCAACCCTTTCACTTAAAGTCTTTCCACAATTCCTCAGCCCAGTAGTTTTCTTGGTATATTTTAGTCAAGTACTTTTGTGTTGCCAACCATCCCATTCCCTAGAGGCTGTCCTGCAAGTCTTCAGCCACAGTAATTTCACAGACATATGGCAACACCACCCCCATGTAGACAGAGGCAGTCTACAGTCTCCACTGCAGGTGACGCCTGTCCGTAGCAGCAATGCAGCTGGAAGAGGAAGACAAGAGAAATTGGGTTTCTGTATGGTTTCCTCAGTCCCCTGGAGCAGCGATCCATTGGTTACACTGGGTCCAGGTGACCCTGCACCATCTTGGGTCATGCACAGTCTTTTTATGTCCCTGCCCCCGGATTTTGGTGAGCATTTTGCGAGTGGCTAGTGCAGGGGCGGACTGGCAACTCATGAGGCCCCCGGCAATAGGAGATCATGGGGCCCCTGTGTCCTTGCCCAAACTCAAAAAAGCCTATGAAAAAGGTACCAGGGGCATCTCATGGGGCCCCCTACTGACCCCGCGCCCTCGGGCAGTGCCCGAGTTTCCAAATGGTCAGTCCACCCCTGGGCTAGTGTGGGGACAGGATACCTGTCTGTCAGGACAGCACCAGCAGTAGGGAGATGTTTCGGAGGAGTAGGGAAAGCATAGGGCCTAGGTCTGCATCTTCAGAAGCTTCCCCATGAGTTGGACCAGCCAAGCCTCATTCTGCTCTCCTTGTCAGATGCTGTCTTCTGTTCGGGGGCCCTACACTGTGCTAACTCTGTACTTCAAGCTGTTGTAAGTGTCCCAATTGGTTAAGCTCCTCCACTGGGCCTGTTTTACTGTTCTTCATATTTTGTAATACATTGTCTTCTGCAATCCAACCGCCTTACTGCTGTCTCTTTTTTAACTGTTCAACCATTAAAAACTTTATTGGAACTCCTGTCCCTGGCATAGATTTGACATACCTTGACTATTGGAGATTTGATGTTCACGGAAATACAGGTTCTTTAAAAAAAAAATGGCTAGAGCTTATGGCTGAATGGTTGAAGCAGATCCTCCAGACGGCAGGCGGGTAAATTAGGAATGTACCTCACACAATAGCTTGTGATGAACAATTTTTTTTTTCTTTTATGAGCAGCAGAGATGTGCGTATGTGATCTCAGACACAATTACCACCTCTCCTCCCCCGGTCGGCTCAGCCCTTTTGTTCCCATTCTCCAAATGAAAATTTTCGAAATAAGAGAGAGCTGCAACTGCTGGCCCAGGGAAAATGAAATTAACTCCGGCGCTAATTAGAATTCGCCTTTAATTAAGAAGAGCATGCTGTAGGAGTTGAGCGGCAGCTGACCCCCGCGCCTCTTGCATGAGGCGGTGGCTGTGATGTTGCACAGCGGAAGATTTCTCTTGCTGAGAGCTCAGCAACGCCGTTTTGTTTCACCTCCCTTCATCAATGTCTCACACTCCAGCAGCTTCCACTCCGGCGGGCTGCATCTACAGACGGTTGCCTTGATGAGATTTTTGATCTGAAGCTGCGCGGCTCACCTGCCTTCTCCCTGGTGGGTCTATGGAGACAACACTTGCCAAATGAGTCAATGAGAAGAACAAGTAGACGACCTGGGGAAAACTGGGAACTCCATTCATGACCTTACAAAGGGCAGTGCACCATATTTCTGAACAGAAACTCAACAGTCTTCTTAACTGTGAACAAAATGGATAGATAGATAGATAGATAGATAGATAGATAGATAGATAGATAGATAGATAGATAGATAGATAGATAGATAGATAGATAGATAGATAGATAGATAGATAGATAGATAGATAGATATAGATAGATAGATAGATAGATAGATAG